ATACGCAAAAAACCCGTCTTACATTTAAACTTCAAAGGTAAGGACTTACCTTTAAAGTTTAAAGAGCAAAGTAGCCTCCCTGAGGTCTTGGATGCCTCCGAAACGCTAAACTAAGGCCCTTTTCTTTTCTTTTTAAACAAACAGCAGGGCGAAGCTTCGCCCAAGCGCATATCGCCAACCTTTTAAAAAAAGGCGGGCAAAAATCGGAAGCCTCAGGCTTCCAAACGGAAGTGGCTCTGCAATGGTGGAGAGCGATCAGACAGGGGTAAAGTGATTACAACCGTTGCACTCAGGATACCACCACTTGGGGACCTAGAGGCAGAATACAACGGTGTAAAGCTCTTTGCAACGGTTAGGTACGGAAGGCAGATGTTCGCCGTGTGAATGCCGGTAAGTACACCGATTCCAACCGGCACCTATTCTGTTGCAAATGCCCCGTCTCAAAGCACCCTTTGTGTGTCAGTAAAGTAAGCCTTTTCTTTGGAAAGTTCATCCTAACAAAAAAAAAATGTCTACCACTTCCCCAGCCAATTGTACAGGTGGTAGTCCCAGCAGCAGAACCAGTGAATGGCAGAAAGAGAGAGCCCAAGGAAATTCTGTGTAGATGTGTGTGCATGTAAATTCATGCACACACTACCATACTTTCAGCTTCTCTCTTTCCTCAGGGAAGGACAGGCTCATGCTTTGCTTCAGATCCTTGGGCCTGAGCCAACCCCTTGCCTCCATTACTTTCTCCGTTCAATTGATGGCAGTCTCATCTAGTGCTGCTTGCTTCTTTTACATCCTTTTGTTATCTTCAGGAAGATTCAGCCAGGGCTGTTTGTTTCTCTGCCTCTGTGATCAATTTAAAGCAGCTTCTTGCACCTTCATTTTTTACCTCATCAAAGGCTGCACTATTTGACTACACTGCCTTCTTAAGAAACTGAAACCCACAAGCATTTGTTTGTTTCTACAGTGTACAAGAGAGAGATTGGGCTTTTCTGTGTTATAAAACATCTCCCTTCAAAATTAGTCATTGCTTGCTGGAAAAAAGTTTGCATACATTGGGTTAGTTCTGAAGTGGTATTTTTGTTGAACTCTCAGTCTGGGGCAAGTGATGCACTGTATTCTTAGTGCCTGGGGGGGAACAGTGGGAGGGCTTCTAGTGTCCTGGCCCCACTGCTGGACCTCCTGATGGCACCTGGTATTTTTTGGCCACTGTGTGACAGAGTGTTGGACTACATGGGCCATTGGCCTGATCCAACATTGGCTTCTCTTATGTTCTTATGATCTTATGTTTGTTCATACATTGTACAGACGTACTGTTGTGTTGTTATTTATTTATTTATTATTTTCAATTTGCATCCCACCTTGCCAGGGAGCTGGCTCAAGGGTTGCCAGATCCCCTCTGAGGGCAGGGAATCCCCCCACCAATCAGCTGGCTGGGGGGGGGGGTTTAGGCAGTGGGGAGGCCTAGCTCAGTGTTTCAGCAACACAGCAATGTCACTTTTGGCACATGCTGGAAGTGACTTCATCATGTTGCCAGCTATGCAGATATGCTCTGGTATTTCAGCAAAAACTCTGTGTTAAAAATAGCTTCTATACAGAGGTTTTGCCCGCATTGCCAGCACCATGGATGAAACTCCAGCCTAGGCCTTCCCTGCTGCCAGTATGTCCCACCCTGCACCCCCCCCGCGCTGGTTGTAAAGGGGTACCTGGCAACCCTAGGTTGCCCTTTCATAGAAAGGTAAAAATCCTCCCCTATAAAACCCTAACAAAAAGATGAGGGGATGCAGGAACTTCCTTTTCAAAAGCAGGGCAATCTAAATTTTTAATAAATGATTTGAGAAAGAGCTAGGACACTTACAAATCCACTCATGTCTAAAAGCTACAGAAACTGTAAGATAAGGTTGACACTTTAACTGTATGTTTTAAATTTTATTGTATTTATTGAAATGCTGTGACCCACCCCCTGAGTCCGTTTATGGGATGGGCAGGATATAAATGTGAAAAATAAATAAATAAATACCATGTGAGCAATACAGATGTCGTATAGTTTGACATATGCTTTCATACAACTTCAGCTCCAGGTAGTCAAAATTTCCCTTGATCATTTAGCTCCCATATTCTTCCTCTACAGGTTGGGGGTGCAACACTAAATATAGTCTTAATAATTAATAATTTAGTGCCATCAAGTCACAATGGACTCATGGCAACCCTTGATGGGATTGTCAAAGCACGAGATGAACATAGTTGATTTGCCGTTGGCTTCTTCTGCATAGCAAGCTAGGTTTTCCTTGGTGGTCTTCCATCCAAGTACTAACTATGGCCATCCCTGCATAGTTTCCAAGCTCTAATGAGCTCAGGCTATTCTAGGCTATTCAGGCTGCTGAATACAGATTTAGCATTATATAAATATGTAGTAATAAAAAACTGGTTACACATCAAAATTAATGGTGGTCCCACTGAAAGGAATGGATGAAACAAAAATGTCAATTTGCAAAAAAAATCTAAAGGAGAAGTATTGCTGTACAGAGGTCTGTTCTAAGTGAGCCTAAAACACCACACTACAGTCTGCACCTTATACTTGTCATGTGGACAAGTTAAAGTGACAGCCTTAGCGTACCACTTCCATCTTTTTGGGAGCATGGGTACATTTAAGTTCACTTTAAAAATTTACAATATATTGTTCAAGGCTACATTAAAAGTTATAAGTGGGCTAGAGAAGGTGAAGAGAGAATTTTCCCCTCTTCTCGTCATAGAACTCAGGGACACCCAATGATTTTGGCATGCAACAAGAGTTAAGACAGACAAAATGAAAGGATATTAAACAGATTCGGAGAGAATAGATCCATCAGTGGCTATTGGCTATTGTGACTTAAGGGAGCCTCCACATACAGAGGAAGTAAACTTCTTTATACTAGTGCTAGGAGGGAACATCAGGGGGTCTGTTTGCTGGCCCTCCAGGACAACTGATTGACCACTGTGTAAAATGAGATGATGAACTATATGTACAATTTTTCATGTAATCATAAAGGATAGTCACTTGATTTTAACCATATTATATCAAACATTTTCCAGAATGCCATAAAAGCTGCCAGGGGCTCTTACTCCACCAAGGAGCACAATGAGCCTTGGCCAGGATGGTGGGGTAGAAATTCAATCAATCAATCAACGAATGGAGCCACAAAAGTCGTCTGATCCAGCAGGGCACCTCACTTCCATTAATCTTTTCACTTGCTTGGATCAAGCGATGTACAAGTGGAAACAGAAAGGGACTTAGTACAGCTTCTCTGGCACAAGAACTCGTGCAATAACTAACTTTCCTACATATTATAGTATCATGGTATTTTTCTTGGGTTTCCACTTGCATAAGAGCTTTAGGGCAATTATGGCTGCATGAAAATTTTTCCAACATGAGTGTGAGGACCCTGCCCCTGCTCCAACCAAAACCCCCTTGGTTAGTGGGGTCCCCCTCTTATTTTGGACTTAGTTGCTTTAATAGACACCCTGTTTTACAGCCTAATTGCCAAAGGGATCTGAAATAAGGGGAGTCTCATAAACTCACCTGGATGCAGCAATGACATTGGAAAATCCCAGGGATAAAAATGAAGGGTGTGCTGGCATTACAAATTGATTGCCATCTCTCGCAGCTCAGGTTTCTCAACAACAATAAGACTTCTCAATAAGACTTCACTTCATTCTCAATAACAAAAGACTTTTCAACGTGGGAATATCCTGGCATACCTCAGAGGTGTCTGCCCAGCTCGAGGAAGTTGCTATTTCATTAACCAATCCCAAGTTCTCTTTTTCCTTTTTTTACTCAGTGAAGAAGGGCACTCAAGTCATTAATTTATGCTCCATCCTTTTTCAGAAGCTATCTTGACTCACCCAAACTTTTGCATTCAAGCAGATCTGGCTCACCTCAACCTAATTAAAGTATGTTAATCAGCCAGTGAGATTCAAACTTTTTATCTTGACCCAACCCAAAGCCAGGATGGCTTAAATCCCACCTACCCTGGGGATTCTCTGGACATAAAAGAAGGACCCTACCCCACAGCAAATTGTTCCTCAGATCCCTGGTTCAGCTCAGTGCCAGTCAGAACTCTGGTTTCCTGCTTAACCCCACTGCTGCACTTCGCAGGATTTTTCTCCTTGCTTAGCCAGCTCCTTGCTCTGCTCCTTGGACCTCAGCTCCCCTGGACCTCTCCAGACCTCAAGCCCAAGATCTCAGGGTATATGTCCCTTCCCTAAAACTTCCCCTCCCCAATTTCTCCCCCCCCCACCTTTTATATGTGTGCCCTCTTGTTGGGGTGTGTGTGTTTACTTAGGGAATTAGTTCTTTACACTTTTATTCTTTTTTATTTTATTCTGCATACAACAAAGCTATTTGTTTGTGTTTACAATCACTCTCTCACTCTCTTTTTTCATAATTTTATTTTCGAGTATCCCCACTGAGATCCACCCTGGTATAAACAAGGTCCTACACTATTCCTTTCTAGAACCCTTTTAAAGCCAATTCCCCTTCTCTGGGTCCAATTTGGGTAACATGAGTAGCTGACATGAGGTTTCTATATTTCCACTAGCCATATAATAATTTAATTAACTACTTACTTAATTTATAGTTCACTTTCCTCCCCAGTGGGGACACAGTGTGGCTTACATTGTTCTCTGCTCCTCTAAACCATCTGAGGAAGGTCAGGCTGACTGTGTATGGCAGGCCCAAGGTCACCCGGCATGCTTCCAGACAGAATAGGGATTCAAACCAGAGTCTCCCATATCCTAGTCAAACATTCTAATAATCTAATCACTAATTTACTTTAGCTCCTGACATACTACATTTTAATTCGGTGGGGGGGGGGGGGGGGGAGAAAGGTACCTGACTCCAAAATCTGACTAACCAGAATGCTTATGCAAATAATTTATATTTAGGTCATCACTTCTTTCTCTTACTCGATTGCATATTTGATTACACTGGAACTGGAACCAAGTTCAGCATAAATTAAAAACTGGTCTCTCACCTTTTTCACAAAGAGCCCCAACGTAACTTGGAAGACAAAGGCAAGTAAACGTGTTGTCCCCATCAATGCATGTGGCTCCATTTCTGCAAGGACTTGACTGACAATCGTCAACATCTGTCCAAATAATAATAACAATTTATTTCAGTGGGAGTTCTCACATTAAAAAATATGAAATAGAAGAGAATATTTTGCACTAGAATAATTCACAATAGATATACATAAATAGAAGCCAGGTGTCGCAATACTAAGATCCTAACTACTGTCATCAACATTTACTAATTTTAATATTTACATTTTAGGATGATGAGAGTAGTTTTTATATACTATATACATCACTTTTAAAAAATTTCTTGTAAGACCACTGGGCCTGTCATCTGCAATCTCAATTTCTGCCTGTCGTAACTTGTACTGTTGGAGGCAAGAGTGTTACTGCTCATTCTTCTTCTTTTTAATCTGGATAATTATCTCTGTGAACTGCCCAACTTGTTACAACCTGCAACCACACAAGGTCTACACACTACATATATTTCATTTCCTAGGTATATATTTCAGCCTGTTAATATCATGCAACAGGAACCAACCATTTCCTGTACTTTGTAAAACAGAAGCTTCAACAACTAGGATACCAAAGATACCAAAGGATACCAAAGCTAATTGAATGGCTCGCCCCAGAGTCAATTGCTCACCCTTACTGGTACCCATCTCTTACTTCAGCAGTTGACTGGGCTAACCAAATGAACAAAAAGCCCAGTCAGTCATTCAGTGCACGTTCCAGTAGATCTGCCTGCAAAAACCAGTCCTCAAGGCTTTATTCAATAGATCAGATCGTTGTTACCAAAGTTGATGTGAGGAGTTAAGTGGGCAATTTCTGGTAGTTATGAATATTTTAGAGCTAATTAATCTCTTCCAGTGCTCCTACCTTTAAAGTTTCACTAATCTGACAGTATCACTGAAAACTACTTTTACAGAGATATTAGCAGCTTTTTTATATGTCGGGCATATTTAGCTATAGAAAAATATATATTAACCATGCTCATATATTTCCACAATTTTTTACCTGTGTAGAATTTGAACCAAATCATCTAAGATGCGCTAGTTGTTATAAAGATATACAGAAGCAACAGATTACACAGAAAAACTGTTGAATCCACAGGAAAACACTATCTAGTGTGCAGTCCTACAGCCATAGAACCTTTATGGTGCACTTCATATCCTATTGTGTTGCCAGACACCATCTATCATGGCTCAAGCTGAAAGTTTTCTCTATCAGCACAACAAATTGGGCATTTGAAAATTTATTCCAGTGCACAAATTGCATTTTCTAGGTTGAGTCCAGAATGCACAATGTTTGTGAGTAAGCATGTGTGCATTCATGTCCACTTTTGTAGCTGTAGCACTCCTAACTGCTTAATTCAGTCAGAATCTTCTGTAAGTCTTGCTGTACATCATATAATTTGATTCCCTATTCTGCATAATAGACAAACGTTTATTTTATATCATGGTTAGTATACCATGTGCCTCAATTCCCAATGGATCTTTCTGAAGTACTAGATCTGGGTTTCTAATTAAATTGTTCAGATATGTAGCAATGTATGCTTACACCACTAATTAACATGTTCAGATATGTAACAGATACACATTTACATAATTGCTGATATATGTGCTGATCTTGGATTGTAATACACACTGAACTGAAGTACTTGGTAAAAAATTTCTTGTGATCTTTTTTCTCATGAGTTGTATTGTTTTGTTCCCTCTTTTTCTACAGTCAATCATTTGTTGTTGTTGTTCAGTCACACAGTCAAGTCCGACTCTTTGTGACCCCATGGACCATATCACGCCAGGCCCTCCTGTCTTCTGTCGTGCTCTGGAGTTTGCTTAATTTCATGTTTGTTGCATCGATAACACTGTCTAACCATCTCATCCTTTTCCGTCCCCTTCTTCTTTTCCCTTCAATCTTTCCCAGCATCAGGGTCTTGGAGGGTTCCTAATTCTTCTTTCTGGGTTATCTATAAAGTCTACTTGCTTTGTAAGTTACTACTGAAATTTTGCCAGTAGAAGGGCAGAAGCATCAGCAGTTTCCTAGCCACGTTGTTTCCTTTCATGTTCTGCCATCTCTATTTTCACAAGTTGCCATCAGACAAAAGAGGACAGCATTTGTAAGATCCTCTTTCTTTTTGCCTATGGAATCAAAATCTTAGTAAAAAAACAAACAATAATATACTTGATGCTGTTCACACCTTCCATCTCAAAGAAGATACTTGGAGGCAAAGATCCATGGAACAAAAACTATGTAGCACGAGAAAAGTGTATAAAGAAACAGCTTTACCATATTAAAACCAGCAGACTCCCAGCACACAGTGAATATGTAAAATAGACAATCAATTACCAACATGCTCTTATTTCTTACCTATTTCACACCGTTCACCACTGTAGCCTGGCATACATGTGCAAATGTAGAAAGAGTCCCGTGGATAGCACGTGCCTCCATGTAGACAGGGATTAGTTTTGCATGGATCTTGGCCTGTAACATGAATTCATGGAAAACTGCTGTATTCTCTAAAATTGCTCATTGAATGCTACATTGCTTTAAACAGAAAGATGTTTCCTGGTTCTTGATTCTGTTAAATCAGCCACAATTGCAGATTAAAGAACAAAAAACAAAAAAATCAATTCACTATAATATGCAGTAGTGCTATTAAATCAGCCATCAGTTTTCCATTTTGGCATTGCAACTTTACTCATGGGTAAAAACAACTTACTTTCAGCAATATTTCATTTTCTTCAAATGACATTTTGTATTATTTCTGGCAACTGTAATACTCTACTGAGGATTTAGTTGGCATGACACGACAATTAATTATAGCCAAAAACAGTTACAACATATGTGCATGGTGAATGAAATATGCATGTATCTGAACAGGGTTAGTTTATATGGAATGACTGGGTACACAGAACATGCATTCTTATACCAAGCTTCTTGTATGCCCACTTTCTATACATCATATTGGCCCACAAAATCTTATTTCACACTATTATTTCTTCCAAAACACATGCCAGTTCTATTCCTTTAAAATATCTTGAATGAACTGTATGAAACCAAGCCAGAATACATGTTTAACCATCCACATGAGATCATATAACCATGCTTTATAAGGGACAGTTACAATTATATAGAACTTCCATGACATGTCATTATCACACATAAAACTTTTTAATTAGCAGAAAGCAACATCCATCAACAGGGAAAGATGCTTGCATGTGATAATAAACATGATAAGTGGTCATATGAATCTACTCTGACAGAAAGGAATATATTATTGCCAAAAGGGCCTCTTATAAGTATTTATGAAAAGCAAGGATTCTGTGCTTGAAATTTATTGATTGTCATTTACAGGTAAGGCTTTGAAAAGCCTGCACTAGAAAACGGTGGGAGATTTAGTTTAAGGAATTTCAGCTGAAGAAAGATACGTCTAAACAGAATTTGGTAATATCTGCACACATTTTTACAATCATATGTTTAAACATCTTTAGAAAAATTCCCCACCCAATTAATCCACATCTCAAGCACAATCGTACCAAGAAAAGTAACAATTCCCACTTAGACTACTAGAAAACCATCTACCTGATTGCTATTATAATGGGGGCTCATGCATGGTTCATATGCACAAACCCACACTGTGTTCCAAAAGTGAAGATCAGGGATCACACTAGTATCCATGTTTGTTGTCCACTGTGAATAGACTTTTGGGCCAAGATCTGGGTGTAAATGTGAATCCTATCAATATTACCATATGTGGTACTAGTCATGCAACATGCTTTTGCTTAAGAGCATATTTGCATCAATTGATAGATGTACACCAATAACATACTCTACTAATAACAGCATCCTTGTCATTTTGTTACCATAGAAATTTCATGGCCAGTTCACACTACATTTTTTCTTTTTGCAAGAATTACTAACAGTTTCTGATCATACATTCAAATGGACAGATGTAAAAGGTGAGCCATGCTAACTCAGACAGCAGGCTGCAATCCCTGTGACTAAACTGGATGGGTAAAGACTGAGAGCCACATATATAGGAGCTGCTATAAGCCATGCTTCACATACTATGTTTCTCTCCTTGATTGTGTTTGCTCAGGGAACACTGAGGCTGCTTGCACAGGGAAAAGGTTGTGTAAACTGTACCTAAGATTATCTGTATGGTTTTCCATATTCTCTATGAAAGTATGTCTTTTCACAGAAATGCAGAGAATTTTATGTACACATTTCAGAAGGAAAAGAATACCATATAACAAACTCTTACCTGGTATGTGAACTGCTGTGCCTTCAACTGAACCCCCACCTGTGCCAATCAGGAAATCGGATCCATTAGTAACATCCAGAAGTAAAAATGGTGGTGTTACAAGTTCATTGGTGTTTAAGTCCTCAGTGTTTCTTGTCTGCTTGTTATATTCGGGAATGCTTTCAGGGAGTGGGCTTTTGGTTGCAGTGTACGAAGAAATTGGTGTTGGCTCCTTCTGCAAGTCCAAATCAGTCTGAGTTTCTGAGGCTGTATCCACAGAGAGTGGAGGTAAAATTGGCCATGCACTGGATTCCTCATCGGCATCAAACACTCCACCTGTTTTACTTTCATGTGGTACTGAAGAAGATGTTGTGTGTAACCATGGCAAATCTCCTTCAGCGCTGTTTTCATCTAATTGATTTAATTCCCTGAGACTTTCAGAAGTTCCTTCTTCTGGAATGTCTATTAAGACTCTGGCATCTAATTGTGTAAAGGCTGTTGGCTTAGCTTCTTTTGAAAGGGACTCTCCAGAAACAGTTATTTCATCCCAAGTAATCAGTTCTGATGAAGAACTTCCTGGTTGTCCTGTAATTTGTGTTACCTGTCTACTAGAAACAGCTGTACTCTCAGTAATCGTGCCTTCTGATTCCAGTTTGGGAGAAGTTGTTAATGGAAACTTGATACTATCTGATGGTTCTTTAGATGGAGATGGAGGTTTATAAGTTGCTGTAGTATCAGCACTAGCTTCTCTGAAGGATTGTATCAATGACAAATCATGTTTTTCAGAATCTACTGATGATACAGTACTTAACATGATTTCTTCAGGGTACTTGTAAGCTCCATTTAGCAAATGGACAGTTACAGAAGATTTTGGTGTTTGAGTTACAGGAAGAACATTTTCTGGATCTCTTTTGATGGATTCTGTGGGTGCAGTTTTTATTCCATCATTATTTGTTTTTTCATTTCCCATGGCACTTTGGGAAACTAGTTGTATAGAAACAATGCTTTCTTCTTCATAGTTTGTTGTCAAAGATTGTCCTGTCTTAATAAGTAAATACGGTGGTATAGAGAAAGGTATGGTGTCTTTTTTTTCATCCAGCTCTATTTGTCTGTTTTCTGACAGGCCAGAAGTAGATGCAATTTCACTTTCATCAGCTATTGCTTGGTTGTCTGACAATGTCTGTAATTCAGAGTTGTCTTCTATTGAAGTTTTAGATATAAAATCTTTAGTTTCAAGCTGTGATACTTTTTCCTTTTCACCAGTTTTGGGGCTAGTTGGAGATGATATGGTAGAACTGGAAAGAAATGTTATGCCTGGAAGTAAAGTATCTATTTTAGGTGACTCATGTGTGACAGGACTTTCTGTTGTAAAAGTTACGACATCTCCTGAGCCCATATCATCTGGCAGTAGTGTGTGTTCAAATATTATTGGTTCACTGAATATGAACTTCCTGGTTTCAGGTGTCCCTTGACCGTCTCCAAAGCTCCCTAAATCATCATCAGTAAAAGCAAATTCTGGCAGTGTGCTCTGAATCTCCATTTCAATAGTTGTGGTAATATTATTATCATAAGCCAAGTGTGTTTCAGTGAGCACTGTTGTTTGGGCACTTCTGTCTTCAATTGTTGATTTTAAGAGGTCAGCATCTATAATTGTTGTTTCATCTGATGTTATGCCATGGTGTGGTCCAACAAGTGTAATGTTATTAGAAATATTTCCTGAGTAGTTCCTTTTGTCATCAATGATTGGGATAAGTTCCTCATAATCTCTAATGATATTTGTAGAACTTTCATCAGCAGATGTCTCTGACAGATCCCTAGCTGAAGTTGGTAGCACTTGTTTTTCTTCTAATGATGTTAACATAGTTTGTGATTCATCTGTTGCTATGTCTGAGTCCAAAATCTCTGAATAATTTTCAGCATGAGTATGAGATGCAAGTATTATATCATTTTTTGGCAATGATGTGGGCGAATCAGAATGTTTTCCCATGCTGTCCAGCCAGTCAGATCCTTCTCCAGAACTTTCAAGAACTGTTGGGCTCAACATTTTTGGTTCTGGTGTGCTTTTAAGTATTTTAATGGTTCTGAGATTAGAGGTTCCACTAAACAATTCAGATACAGCCGTTGTATCTTCATTCCTCATCACATGAGCGGCCTCCCCTTGGGAAACTCCATCCCTAACCATTGGGATTGATGGTGTTATACTATCTTCCTTCTTATAATAGTTTTCTTGGTTTTGAGACTTTTCAGGAAAGGGCAACTTTACTGTAGATGCCTCATCTTCAATCAACCTAGCTTCTAGGGTAGATGTAACAAGGACATGTCTGTCTCTTGTTGTAGGCAATGTTTCTGCTGTAGCATGCAACAATTTTATTTTGCTTCTGGAACCATCAATTGATTCACTGGTGTGACCATGAAATTCCTTTGTTTCCTCCTCGGAAAAATTTACTTTTGAAGGTTTAGAATGAAGAATACCATAATCTAATCTATTTGACATTCCCTGTAGAATAGCAGACCTTGGAGGCACTGTGGTGGATGGAACAGTAAATAATTCCTCTCCAGAGCCTTGTTCTGAAAACAGTGGGATATTATCAATAACTGTGGTGGTCACTGACTTATATGTTGTGAGCACTGAGGGAATGTGCTTCAGAGAGGGTGCTTCAGTAGGGTAAATATTTTGTACCAACAACTCTTCTTTCTCTCCAAAAGTTGGTGAACTGCTTACTACTTTGTTTTGAAATTTTTTAGACTCAATCCTGAGGGTTTTATCGAGTGGAGAGAGCTTTGTTTGCACAGATTCAGTACTAGAACTAACATCCGATTTCCTGTCTTCTGAGTCTGGGACAAATGTTGGAGCACTTGAATTTCCTAGCAGTCCAGCTGTAGATTCTGTACTTTTTATGTAAGATTCTTCTGTTACTATCACCCTAGAGGTAAGTGCCATTTTTCCTGATGTTTCAGAAATGCCTTCTTCACCAGAATTTGTTTGGAGTGTGGGTCTTACAGCAAAGTCTTTTGTTTCCAACTCAACAGGTACTTCCTCTTCTATTGTTTGTACATTAGAAACTTTCTCTATAATTCCTACATTGGTTGTGGTGATGTCAGAGTGACTATATATGCCAAATTTTGTAGGTGCATCTGTAAACAGATTATACCTAGATGTCATGTGACTATCTTTTCTGACATTTTTTGTTGTTTGAGCTCCAAGTCTTTCTGCCAGTACTTGGGGTAAAAGTGTTGT